TAACAAGCCACCAACATGTATTTATTCAAGCCGGCTTTGTGCAAGTCCTGACATTGAGGGTCTTAAGTTGAAACCAAAAGTTCAAGGTAAAGTTCTTGGCCTTTAGAAAGTTAAAATCTTAAGAGACTAGGAAATACACACACACACTATTAGATAACAAAGAAGCTCAAAAGAGTAATAAGCAAGATGTAACTCTAGGTTAAAGACCAGGGACCAATCAGATATCATCTATGCTTTCTATGAGCCACACACACTGGTGGCCCAAGACCACTTCTCTGGCATTTACCTTACAGAGGTTTATATTTTAATTCTCTGTATATTTCCTCAACCATATTAGGCTACAAATTCCTTGAGAGCAGGGGAATCCCTTGCTTGATTTCTCCTAGTTTAGTCCTCAACCATAGTAGGAACTTACTCACTGAAATAATTCAAATAAAATTGCTCAATAAAATTAAATTAATCAATTGTCAGAGTAGTCAGAGAAAGGTTATTAGATATGTGGTCTGGGATTTTGAGAGAACTTAGAAGGATGGAAGGATTTTGAAAGGTGCAGAGAAGGTATGGTCATGCTTTCTGTTAGAAGAAAAAGAGCAAAGCAAAGGTTTGGACCTGACCCCCTCAACCTACCAGTGGCACTGTGAGCACAGACATCCAGAGGATGTGTGAATGGGTGTCAAAATGTTTTCCCCTGAATCAATACATAAATTATCACTCTTTTAGCCCTGAGTTATGTTTATTCAGAAAATTAATTTTGCATAGCTTTTTTCCTTACATCCTCATGGATCATTCTTCTAAAAGATTCATGATGATATTGAGAACCTGCTAAGTTGGCAGAACATCCTGAAGGACCCAAACATACAATTATTAGCACACTTTTCAGCAAGGATCATCCTACATATAGTAGTGTGTCTCTTTATCTTAAGCAGACTATTAGAGCTCACCACAAATGCTTTCTCTCTTCAACTACAAGTTTAAACTATCTTTAGAAGTCTCCCTATGGGTACCATTTTGGGGAGTACAGTGTTGCTCTGCATAAAACAGCTTCTGAGTCAAAACAGAGCTGAAATCCAGTAGATATTTCATGAATATATCCCCACTCAACTCTGTTTGCCAGAGAAGCTTCTGCATTTTGAAAGCATAATCCTTGCTATACTTTGGCCTTCCCTGCATCTGTTTCCATGTCCAAGAAATCTTACCTAGATCTTTTAGGATGGCAGAAACACCCACCACTTAGCAATGTATCAGTGTTATTGAGATCAGGATGGCATAAAATAATGATAAACACTAAGTGCCACCTTCAGTTACAGCCTCCCAAATATCCTTTGCATTATATCACCTGCTATGCATACTGACTTCGTGATTGACTTACGACTGTTTAGATTTAAGATATATGCACGAAAATATTTTGCTGTTTCTCAGGCCCAAAATGGTGGTGTGATTAAAAGCTAATGCTTGAAGCATTTGCTGGATAAGAGTAGACCCTTATTTCTAATCTTATCAAACCAAATAACCTTCTTTAAAAATTCCATACTCTGCATTATGATAAATCTCTCTGGCATATCTGAGCAAGATTGAGCCAAGAGACTGATTCCAAATGTAACACATGATAGAAATCCCTGTAAAGTGGGACTCAGTATTTTATCAAATAATTTAATCTGGGTGAAAGAAAGCCCTTGTCACTTTCAATTTAATAATAATTAGAAAGGTATCTGTTAGGAGTAGTGTACTTAAATGCAGTGCTGGATATTTGACCCTAAAAAAATAATTAGAGAAACAGTCAGAGGTTTATATACAGAATGTTCATCTCAGTGTTATTTATAGTAGCAAAATTAAAAAATGAAATGTCCAACAATATGGTATCAGTTTCATAAAGTTCAGCTGTATGATGGATTTTATGCAGCCACTAAAATCTTTTATAGCAATATTAATTGACATGAGAAAATGTTCATGGGAAATGCTTAATGAGAAAAAAATGGTTACCAAACAGAATGTTTACTATGATACTCAATTTGAGAAAAAGAAAGTGTATAAACATTGTATATACACTGTCAATATCCTCCTGCCAAAGACCACGAGGACCACACCAGTAGTTGATCAAGCGGGGTTTATTTCTGGTTGCTGCAAGGGAGAACACACACCATAGAGAACTAAAGGATGTCTCAATAAGAGGCTGTTAGAAAGGACTTATCATAGGATTTGGGCTTGTATTAAGTGATTTGGGGAAAGGTTGAAGTCAGCAGGGGGTTTGCTCTGAATTGTATGCCATCAGGAAGCAGGGATAGTTTTATGATTGGATGTCTTAATGAATCTTTATCTAGAGGGAGAGAAAACTAGAACAAGGCTAAAGCTGTAATTTGTTTTAAAAAGACCACAATTGCTACTCACTTTAGCCAGGGTAAGGACATGTTTAGTCATTTTTGTGGTTTGGACAAGGTTCATGTTTTCTCTGTGCTCAGACATGATTATGGAGTGGTCCTAATTTTGTCTTAATCCATCAAAGTTAAAGAATGCTCTTATCTGACATTAATGTTTTAGGAAATGGTTTATGTTCAATAAGACAACACCAAAGCTTGGTTATGAGTGCCAGGCCAGCTCCTAGCAACACCAAGGCCCTGTCCATAATACCAGGCCAGCTCCTGGATGTCAGGGACTGATTTTCTTTTCACACACACATATAGAAAAGACTAAAATTATTAAAAATATCATTTATCAAATGCTTGTGTTATTTCAGGCACTGTTTTAAGCGCTTTACATCTTCTGATCTATTTAATCCTCACAGCAACTTTATGGGTTCAGAATTAGTATTATTCCCATTTTCCAGAAGAGAAAAATTGTGGCATAAAGAGGTAAACTTATTCACCCAATGCATTGTAGCTAGTAAGTGGTGGGGTAAGGATTCAACGCAGTGGCTACAGAACCAACAGCTTTAAATGCTATATTATATCTACATGTACAATTAATTATCAACAGAGATTACCTTGAAAGTTAGTGGGTGTGCACAGATACAGGTGTTTTTGCTTCCTTCTTTTTCTTGTTCTTATTTTCTAAATTGTCTAAAATTAAAATGTATTAATTTTTAAGCAGAAAAAGTAATAATTTGCGAGCATACTGATGGAAGCTCTGTTCACAAGGTCATTGTCGCAAATGCAAACCCAAGTCTTTGCTGGTGGCAATGCTCCCCTGAACATCTGAATCAAAAGAGAAGAAAAAATCGGGAGGAGGCAACACTAGCCCTCCCTCACTCCCTCTCTCCAACTCAGTTTAGACAACACTAACTAGTTTAGACAACACTAACTAGATTGCCCGCAGTAAAAGGTGGCCCAATATCCGTTTTCAGGCAGTTCTGTCTCTGAACTGAAAGAGGCAGGGTGGAAGTCCCCCCAGAGTATACATAAGGACAATTAGGAATAGAGTTGGGAGGATTAGAGGAAAATGCCTTGGTCTCAAAGGAAAGGCCTTTTCCGCGTGGGAGGACAGCGCTCCCGCCCCCACCAGCTGAGCAATGCAGGGTTTCTCCCGCTCTAAGATTCAGCCCAGGCGCTGAGAGAGGGCACTCTGCTCTTCAGCCTGCCTGAGAGCTGACATTATAGGCTGGAAATTCTAGGGACGAGGGTGAGCCAAAGTTGGGAGGGAACCATTTGAGGGTCAAAGACTTCATAATGAAAAGAACTTCGCCGAAATGTTAAAGGCGCCCAAAGAGACCCGTCGGCTGGTTTTCTTTCTCTTACTTTTGTCTCTGCGCTAGCATCAGGACACACGAAACATTTCTGTTCGTTCCCTGTGCAGAGACTGATTTTAGGCCTCCTGAGAGGTGCCCACCCACTAGATGCCGCTGGCTTAGTCTCAAAGAGCTGGGTTCGCAGTATTTCCCACCGCCACCCCCCCCCCCGCCCTTCCTTCTTTCCGTCTGCCCGGGCTGAGAGCCACGCAGGGCATCCACCCTGTCATTTAGCACCTCCGCGGCGCAATGGTGGGTGGTTTCCCAAAGCGCGTGCCCTCGCAGCCACTCGCGCTCGCCTCGCCGCTTGCATGGGGCACAAGTCAATGAGGCTTTTCCCTCCGCGATCATCGTGAATCAGCAAAGCGCCACAGAGCAGCGGCGTCTCCGAGAGCAGAAATTAAGACGCTGTGGGGGGGGGGGAGGGCACAAGTGGAGTGTGGCAGGGGAATTTCTAGCCCCTTCAAATGTGTCCCTCCCGGGGATGGCAATACTGAGGGAGAAGGGTAGGCTGGAAGGCGCTAGACTTAAGCGTCCTGGGGAGCCTTTGGAAACAGAGAGCGGGGTGGGGAACAGCGAGGATGGGCAGAGAACTCCTTCTCCGAGAGATGGGTGGAAGGACCTAAGGAGCGCAGGCAGAGCAGACAGGTGCGCCCCCGGGGTGGGCAGCGCAGCAGGTGCAGATGTTGCCTCGGGACAACATAGGAAGGAGGGTCTAGTGTGGGGGAAGGGGGGAGAAGATTTTTAAAAGGAAGGATTTCCCAGCCCGTGACTTCCTTTTTCCAACGTGCAAGTTCCCAAGTTCAGTTTGAGAAGTGGAGGGCTGCTTAGCGTAGGGGAGTCTGGAATGGGAACGTTAGGGAAATGCCTCTCTGAGGCGCTTTCTCCGACCATTCCTCCCTAGCTCTCCTCTCTCTCTCCCTCGCGCGCTCTCTCTCCCTCTCTGCCTCTGTTCCTCCTCTTCTTCTTCCTCCTCCTCCTGTCCCTATTTCGCCTTCCTTCAGCTCTGATTAATATGCAAGTCCATGCTCAGTAGTGCGGGCCACCGCCTCCCGCTCGCCGCTTGGCACTGGGAGGCTGAGCAGGAATGGGATGGGGAGGTCGAGTGCTCAGAGGGCGGACAAAGCCAAAGAACCCCTTGTCGCGCCCAGGTCCCCACGCCTCCCCTCCCCCGGCCAGAGAAAGCGCCTCAGTGACCCAGACTCCGAGATCCGGCTCGGTCTGCGTTGCAGTGGACGGACCCAGAGGCTTGGAGCGCGAAACGAAACGCGCTAAATTGTACCTGTGCGTGGCCGTTCCCGCCGCCGCCGCAGGTCTATCCCGGGCCCGAAGCCGGCGCCCGCCTTCTCAGGGAATTCTCCGGAGGGGGAGTGCGAGGGGAACCACAGCGGCTGCCGGCTAGCTCGCGGCTGGCGCGCGCACACACACACGCCCAACTTTGCCAAGCCGTCGGCGCCCCCCGGGCTCCCCCGCGCCCCCTGCGGCTCGACACACTCGGAGACTTGTGTGTCTTGTGGTCTGAGCTAAGGTTCCCCCAACTCTCACACCCTCGCGTGTGAAGGAGAAGAGGGCGGGGTGAGGGAGAGAAGAGGGTTAACACTACTGACTCCCTGGCCAGCCTTTCTCAAACACTCGACACCCGCAGAGACGCCCGCGCCAGCCCCGCCACACCAGGTCCCCCAGACCTGCCAGTGACGACAGAGAGAGGAGGAGGAGGAGGAGGCCGGGCGAAGACCCGGGAGCCTAGGAGCCCCGGAGCCCAGGAGCCCTAGCGATGGACGGTTCCATCGGCTGACCGTCATTATCAGCACTTTTATTACTGGGGGACCGGGTAGGGAGACTGGGGGGTGTGCAGCAGAGCTACTCAGCCCCAAGCCACTCTGGAGCGAACATAAATTAGGGGGAGAGAGATTCTCCACCGACACGTTTTGAGTGGACGTGCTCCAGACGCACACCCGGACCCTGTGGTCCCGCCGAAGCTGCAGTGTTGGGGGGTATTTTAAATGGCTCTTACTTGGGAGGAGGCGTGATTTCCACGTTCGAGCGTCTTCGCTCCCCACCCCCTCTCGGCACCAGCCAGTGCGCGCCACCACCTGAGCCTGGCGAGAGCCGGGGCGCACGCAGTCTTCAGCCAGCTCCTTTCCGCCGCTGGGGAGACTTGGCTCTCAGCGGGCCCGCCCGACGCCCCCCGCCCCCCTGGGAGAACTCTTTACTTTTTGTTTGGAAAATCGGGGCCATTTCTTTATTTATCTCTGGGTCTCCCAGGAAGAGGACAGAGGAGGGGAGCGTGAGCTCGGCGGGCCGGGACGGGGGAGGGGAGCGAGATGAGGGGAGGGGACTGGGTGTAGCCTGGAATTCTCCGTCCTCGTGTTCCTGGGCTGGCGCGCAGAGTCTCCCGGCGGTAGCGCCGCGGCCGCCGCCGCTCCCCGCGCCACCCCGTCGTTGGCCTCGGGGGTCGGGTGAGTGGGGTCATGACGCGCCGCGGGGGCTGGCCCGGGCCCCGCCCGCACTGAGAGGGGACGCGGCGGCGCGGCGCGGAGCCCCCCTGGCGGGGAGGCGGCGGGGGTTGGGGAGGGCGCACGGGGTAGGGCGGAGTGGGGGCGGCGCGGAGGCAGCCAAGCTGGGGGGCTCTCTGGGAGGGCGCGGCCCCGGGCAGGAGGGCGTGTCTCCGGCCCGAGGGGACCCTCCCGAGGCGCGGCGCGGGACTCCCCGATGGTGGTGCCGCGGCTCCGGGAGAGCTCAGGGTCTCGCCTCCGCCGCCGCCGCCGCCGCCGCCGCGGGAGCCACCGCCGCCGCCGCCGCCGCCGCCGCCCGAGCCCGCGCCGAGCGTGCGCCTCGCCCTCCTCCCGCGCCCGCTCTGCTCTAGGATGCTGCGGCAGGTTCTGCACAGGGGCTTGAGGACGTGTTTCTCCCGGCTCGGCCACTTCATTGCCAGTCACCCGGTCTTCTTCGCCTCGGCGCCGGTGCTCATCTCCATCCTGCTCGGCGCCAGCTTCAGCCGCTACCAGGTCGAGGAGAGCGTGGAGCACCTGCTGGCGCCCCAGCACAGCCTGGCCAAGATCGAGCGCAACCTCGTCAACAGCCTCTTCCCGGTCAACCGCTCCAAGCACCGGCTCTACTCGGACCTGCAGACCCCTGGGCGCTACGGCCGGGTCATCGTCACCTCCTTCCAAAAAGCCAACATGCTGGACCAGCATCACACAGACCTGATCTTAAAGGTGAGATGAGGGGGGCGCGGGTGCCGGCAGCCTCCGCCGGCGCGGCAGCCGCGGCTGGGCTGGCTCTGCGCTGGGGTCCCAGCTGAGAGCGCCGCCTCTCCTATCCCAGGCGGTTGCCGCAGGGGCTCCCCTGCACCGCGCGCCCCAAGGCGGTCGAGCGGAGCCTCCCAGACTCCTGAGAAGGGAGCGTCCGGTCCGGGTCCGGCCCAGCCCTGGCCCTGTCCGCGTCGCCTCCGCCGCCACCCCGCAGTTGCTGCAACAGTTGGGGCGGCGGCGGCCACGGTGCTGTGCTCGGTGCGCTTGTTTTGGTCACAGTGGGCCTGGGGGGCGGGGAGGCTTTGGGTAACTGGGCCAGGAAGGAGCAGAACTAGAGAAGACATTCTAGAAAGTCCTGCTACTTGAGAACAAAATACTATGCCTGGAGGGGATCCTGAGATACCCTTCCCTGTCCCAGTTTTTTTTTTTTTCTCCCTCCCTCTGGTCCCCGGAGTGTTTGGGGAAAGGCTGCTGGGGCGGGTGGCGGTTGGAGGGTGAAAAGGAAGCTGAGGCGACATGGTGAGGAAAATGCCTCCCACCCACCCAGAAAGAAGTCCGGTCTGTGCCAAAGACAGGGGGGTGTCCTGCTGCCCTGTTCCCCCTGAACGAGGTAGCAATCTCTGTCTTCTGGGGTAGGAAATTATGTCTGTAATTCGCAGATATTTCATCTTTCACAGTAGCTCCTCTGCTCTGAAATGCAAAAACTTTGGGAAAAGAGGGAACTGATCCACTTTGATTTAGGTGCATTTGAGCGAGGGGGTGAGGGGAAGAGCCAGAGGGTGCGAACAGAAGCCATGCTGTATGGCCCAGAGAAACGCGCCGGAAACCAGCGCAGCTAGTTACAGAAACCGGTTGTGCCTTCAGCCGCCGCAGCGGGAGGTGGGAATTTGTTGTGAAAAGTGGGGTTAATGGTGGTATAACTTTCGGGAAGTTCCTAAGAAAAGCAGAGGAGTGAGGACTAGAGATGGAAAAGTGGAGATCCCAGGAGAGAAAAGTAAAAATAGGTGAGAATGTTCCAGCTGAACCCCCGTGGGGATTGTGGGGCATGTTTACTTAATGTTCTCTTTTGGGGAGGGCAGACGGAACGAGCCCGAGCTGGGACCCTCGGGCAGAGGCATGGAAGGTGCTGGTTTTGTGTGGTTCTCTGTCCGGATCTGGGAGTAGAGGACAGTTACATTTCTAGTGTACTTAACCCAAGGGGAATCTACCAGTGGACGCGGGGAACACTTTCCTCTTCTTTTCCTCTACAGGTAACAGTCTATCCCTAGAGACAAGCTAATTTTCCTCTATTATTTCCCTACCTCTGTTTGTTGACATGTTATCAATCAGCAATTAGTAATGAGGGGAATCTGACTAGGGACTCGATGGAATTAGGACCTTTTTACATTAAGTGGCTCATGATATTTTTAATGGCATACAAATCATCACACATTCACTTATCGCGGAACCTTAGTAACGTTAATCCTGAGATGTTTGCTTTTCTAATAATTTCACTTCCAACATCAGAGTGGTTTTTTTCAGTACTTCAGTGACTGTATTTTGACACACAGATAAACTGTTCCAAATGCTTTCCCAAGAAAACATGTAGTGGATTCATTACAGGCTTAAGGAAACTATAATTTAGCCAGTCCTGACAGTTGGAAATGCCCCATCTTTTGATGGACGACCTACTAAATGACGTTTCTCTTTGTATTTTTTTTTTAAAGTGATGTTTCCACTGGCTTTCCCCACCCGGAACAAACCATCAAGCCACTGTGACAGGCAGTCACCAGTTACATTCATTCTCAAGGTTAATGAGACATCAACAGGCACATTAAATCTCTTTTCAACTGGATTCCTTTTCCCCTATTAGATTTTGATCAGTTCAGGACAGAAAACACTATTATAAGTGAAGGCTGGAACTGGAGAGAGAGGCTGGCTTTGCCTCTGTGCCTAAAGGCAACTTTAAAGGACAGTGGTTTAATCAGTGGGTTCTTTTAAGAAATGAGATGGTTTTTCATGTTCTAGGTGTCTGGGTAAAATCAAAACCAAGCCTAATAGTGGTCGGAACTCATTTGTAGCTGATGACTCTGGTCAAATGAGTTCATACAGCTTATAAAAACCTTAACTTATGAAACCAGGGAAATTGCCTTTGCTTTTAAATTACATATCCATTTTTTCTTTCTGCATCCAACCCCTATTTTTGGTAGGTATATAGCCTAGGGCCAGGAAAATGGACCTTCAGTAGTCATGGCACTGTAAAGTGTGGGAGTAATTGCATCATTTTTTTTTTTTTCATTTAGAGACATGATGACTTGTCTTTTACAAAAGGTGTCAGGAGTGAAAGAGTCACTGTTACTGCCGTTACTAGCGTTTTTCTGCCACTTCATAACTGGCATCGAGGAAAGCACTGACAGTTAACACTGTACACAACACCAAACAGACTCTGCCTGTTTTATGGCACTGCATTTGAAGTGAAGTGGACAGAGCTTAAGCAGGGTTTGAGGTTTTCTCAGGCGCCACTACAAAACTGGAGGAAGTAACTTGTAGGGTTATGTAGGGTGCTGCTTCAAGCATGAAGAATAGACCCATTCTTTCCTTATAATGTTTTGGGGTTGTACCTGTTCAGTAAAGGAGATCTTTCTTGGGATATTAGTCCAGCTACTTGCTGACCAAAAATAAACCAGGAAGGAGGGGTGATGACAAAAAATGAAAAAACAGTTTGACTTTTTAAAAATGTAATTGAGAATATTACGGAAAAAAATTCTACGCTACAGAGTATTGTAATCACATCACTTGCACAAATTGTAATTTTAAGCAAAAGTGGGTGGGACCTAATGGTGGTAAGGGCTCAACCATTAATTTCTGAACCTCTTTAAATAAATGCTGCTCTTCAAAAGTTTTCATTTCACTAGAAAATTAAATTAAATTTAGCTCATTGTCTCTTTTAACGGAAAATCTATGATGTTCATCTCAGAGCATATTTCAAAGTAAGGCCTCACAAGCTTTTATAGATATGTTTCTTCGTGATCACCCAAATTGAAGTATAAGAAGTGATCCAGGCTATGACCAAAACAATACTTTATTTATTTATTTATTCCAATATCATCTGTATAGTGAAGAATCAGTATAGCCCAGTCATTATGATAATGATATCCCCTTTATGGCACTTTGTAAGTCAAAAAATACAGTATGTTTAAATACAATAAACTGGGAAAAAGTACTGTTATCCCATTTTATTGATGAGAAGACTGCTCCTTAGAAGTTAACTGACTTGTCCTTGGAAAAAACACAAGGACAGAAAGAACCAGAACTGGGACCCAGGGCTTTAGGTTCCAAGTCCAGTGCCCTATAATTTACTTTCATATGATAAACTACTTGAAAGATTTAAAATGTACATTTTTTTATCCAAATGAAGTATATTTGACCAAAGTCCCATCTCATACTGTTGTTCTAACAGTGGCAATTGGATCATAAGGACATTTTCTTGACTGATTCTGTCTGGTGTCAATTAAAATCTACATATAGAAACTCCAAATGCCAAAAGTAAACCATAAGATATTTGTAATTAGCAATATACAAAGATAGAAGATTTTACTGGAAAAGTCTCTGGATGGTTGAGTGTAACTGCTTCCTGTTTGAGTGCTGTTCATTGGCAGGCTGCAGGTAGATTCAACTCTACTGCCTCACACAGTCCGTGGTGCACAATAGCCTCTCAAAAATTACTTGTTGAATGGACTGTCCCTAGTTTACTCAGACATTTATGCGACGGGTAAGGAAAATTCCATAGAAACTACTTTGAAATGTATTTTTTAATAACATTTTTATTTTTACAACTTTACCAGCAGTTTCTAAGCTTCTTTTGTGCAAGATACCATTCTTCCATCCTTGATAACCTCTGTGGTCATAGCAAAGCTTATCTCAGTTTTAAAATTGGGTAGGGGCACTTCCTTTGTACATCTGCTTCTTCAAAGGAAACTCAAGATGTTATATGCCAAACCAAGGCAAGGACATGTCCTCACTAAGCAAGCCTTCTTCCATTTACTAGGTAATCTCATTTTGTTCAAATATTGAGTCTGTTTAATTTAAACATTTTATGTTTAAATACATTAAGTTGCAGCTGGGCACCGTGTAATCCCAGCACTTTGGGAGGTCAAGGCGAGAGGATTGCTCGAGGCCAGGAGTTTGAGACCAGCCTATGCAAGAGCAAGACCCTGTCTCTATAAAAAGTAGAAAAATTAGCTGGGTGTGGTGTAGCTCTAACTACTTGGGAGGCTGAGGCAGGAGAATTGCTTGAGCCCAGGAGCTTGAGGTTGCTATGAGCTATGGTGCTTATTGCACTCTAGCCCAGGTGACCAGAGGGAGACCCTGTCTCAAAAAAAAAAAAAAAAAAAAGAATTAAGTTGCAAACAAGATGAATAAAATCTAACTTGGAGTTATTTACTTCAAGTTTTCCAAGAAGGGCAGCATAACTGCTAGCTCAGGATCACAATGACCCAATAGCTGAATCAAGATCCCAGTTTTTCCAAATACTGTCTCAACACTTTCAATCATTGCAGGAATCACCATCATTTCTTCCTCTACAATCTAAAGATAAGCAAATTTCAGCCTATTTTTGAGCTTAGAATGTGTTTTTTACATTTTTAAAAGATTGTAAACAAAATAAAACAAAAACCAAGAAGACTATGCAGCAGAGACTGTATGTGGCTCACAAAGCCTAAAATATTTAGTGTTCTTTACATTAAAAGTTCCTACACTGTATTCCAAAATTGAATTATTAGAGCAATTTTTAGAAAGTTAATACTATAAAGCAGTAGGTCTCAACCGGGGGTGACTGTACCCCCCAAGAAACATCTAGCAATGCCTGGAGACATTTTTGTTTATCGCAACTGGGGAGGGGGCATGAGCTACTGGCATCTAGTGGGCAGAGGCTGGGGTTGGTGCTAAACATTTTATAGTGCACAGTATAGTCTCCACAATGAAGA